CTCTCTCTCTCTCTCTCTCACTGATTGGACTCCCGGAGCTCCACCTGGGGCCTGGCCATGGATCTCTGCATCTGCTTCCATCAGACATTGGATGGGAGTTCTACCATGACAGTTAGGGTGTTCGGCCATGTCTTATTCCTTTGAGGTCAAGTCTCTTATAGAACTTGGAACTTGCCAATTTTTGGCAAGGCTGGAAACCAGCAAGCCCCAATGACTTTCTTGATTCCCCACCCCCACAGTATTGGGGTTGCAGGTATGAGTGGCCACACCTGGATTTTTATGTGGGTACTAGGAGTCTGAACCAAGGTCTTCAAGTTTGCACAAATACGCTTAACTATTGAGCTCTCTTCCAATCCTCTTTTTTCTTTTTCTACCATAATAAATCAAATGAGGAAAGTTGCCATATCACAGCATCTAACCTATTTTATGTGTAACATCAACCACTGGCAAAGTTGGTTTTCATATGCTCAGTGTCATAAGTATGCTGAGCTCAGAGAAGAGTCCCAGAAAGAGTGATGTTTGCTTCATTGCCAATGGTGGTTTGTTTGTTTGTTTTGCTATAGTGATAAATGGCTTCAGAGTTTGGGAACACTCTTTGTGAACTGCATCAGAGGAATACTGATCTATAAGACAAAGTCCCATCTTTAGCATGTCCCCAAAGTCCCCAGTGACCTACCCACTGTCCATATGTCCAGCTTCATCTCTTGTCGTAGTCACTATCTCCACTCAGAGACTGCAGCAGTCCCTCCCTACACAGCAGCGTGGCTCTGATTTCTGGAGTTGAGCAATGATCTTTCTGTTTGGGATCTTTCTCTCTGCACTGTCCATGCTTTCATCTCATTTTAGTTTAGATGCCACGTACTTCAGAAATCATGAATTTCTGTGCCAGTCAAGTGTTTCTTCCCTGAATCCCCAGTTAATCACACCCTCTCCTTTCCACTCTAAGCTGAAAGTATCTGTCTCCCATGTATGACCATGAGCTCTCGGTGGCTGGGGACTATGCTGTCTTCTTAATTCTTGTATCCTCTGTCTATGCTGACAAGGATCCCAGTGAATGAGTGAAGTTTGCTGTTATGGTTTTATTTTATTTATGGTGTTATTTTCCTATGGAGATGCTCTGAAGTTCTTAACTTGGTACCCTGAATGTGAATGAGATCTTATTTAGAAATGGGGTCCTGACAGATGTAAATAACAAAACAAGAATTCATAATGCATTAGGGTGGCAAATCCAGTGGCTTGTATTTTTGCTAGATGAGGGGAATTTGCAGCCAGAGGACAATGTCAATAGCAGACATGGAGATGGAGGAAAGAAGGACAAAGGACTTTCTCTTGGGACCTCCAGAGAAAGCACAGCCCATGGAGTCCTTGATTTTGAACTTCTAGCCTCGCGCACTGTGAAAGAATAAATCTCTGTTGTTTTGAGCTGCCAAGCTTGTGTTTGTTATGGAATCCCTGAGAAACTGATGCAGGGATAATGCCATGTCAGGTATATTGCAGGCTACACATCCAGGTGTTGCAATTTACTTGGCTGGATCTCCTCTGCAGCCTGAGAAAAAACTCCTTGGCAATCACAATTTGTGGACTCTCAGCATAATTCTTAGAAAATATTTAATCCTGATTTTCTTCAAACAATATATTTCAGTAGTACCTTTTTTTTTTTAAGACTTGATACGTGTTGGCTGAAATAAATTAGTAGACCTATCTAGAAAAACCATCAGGATGCAAACTAATGTCTCAGAGTCATTTTATAATGTGACAGTAGAACAGAGGGCCCAGCTTGTTAGGGAAAAAAATATTGTGTTTGAAAAATATTATCCATAATTATTATTTCCTGTAATGAGGCTGATGGGTGGGATAGCTCAGAATCATAGTAGTTCTAAGGGCCGTGGCCCTGGTTTCCTTTCCTTTTTGATAATTCATTTTTATCTCCTTCCATTAGCAGTAGGTGTTGGGTAAAAGTAGATGGCGATAACTGTCAGGGAACAAGTGACAAAAGGTAAATAAGGCCAGGCAATAGTTAAACCAGTGGGACACAGTAGCTATACACAGGTTAGCCTTGGTTTAATGTTCTGTCAGTTCAGTGAAGGTCAGCCAGAGCTTGGAAATGCTAGATGGAAAGGACCTAGAAACAGGGAACTCATACATGTAAGTTGTATACCATTTTGAGTGTTGTAGTGACAGCTCATCCCATCTACCTGCAATATGAAGCTCTTTGCTTTCCTCTCCATACTGTATGCCCAGCCCATCCACTGGGGACTTGGTAGCTGTGTGCTTATCAGATGTACTTACTCTGCTTTGTAATAGACACTTCAAATCCTCTTGTCCCAAACTAAACTTCTTCTATTTGCTGTCATCATCTCTCCTGCCTCTCCACATTTTACAACTGCTGCACTCAAAGCCATCTTCACTGCACTGGATGGTAGGTTTCTCTTTCTTGTTCAGGCCCCAGACCTTGAATTTGTTCATACCTCAGATCCAACCTC